CTGTTTAGTAATAGGCATTATAATTAAATTGAGAGGTTAAAATTATACCTTATTAATTAAGTTTTTTTCATTATGAGTAATTGAAATAAATTCAAATTAACCTTCTTGAGCCGTTCTTTTTCATAGATTTCACCTTGTGACCCACCTCCCGGGCAGAAGGGTGAACGGGGTGAAAGGGGGAGTCGTGGTTTCCAAGGGCCAATAGGTGATGCTGGTAGAAAGGGAGAAAAGGGGCTCAAAGGGGAGGTTGGGCTTAAAGGCCTTCGGGGGATAGATGGCGAGATTTGCACTCAGGGATTCAAAGGTGAACCGGGTGACAAGGGAGAGACCGGTAAGGCCATATTTTATTCACTAGTTGTGACTTCAAAGCTATTATAACCGTGTTATTTATTATTTATTCATCATGGATATAAAGATTGTAGTAATGAATGCTAGTAATATTTACCTTTGTATTTGCTGCAATGGCGGTATAATATTAGAATTTTTTTTTAATTTTTTTATCACAATAGGAAAACAATTCTATCTTCCAAAACCTCTTGTTCATGAGGTTCTGATAACTATTTTTATAAAGCAAATACTACCCCGTGGATTAGAATTTATTGATAGATACTATGTTTTGAAATATAAAGTAATAACAATTTACAGATTTGCAATTGTGTGGGGGAGTTGATTAAGAAGAGTAGACAAAATAACTCTATATTAATGTTACAGTAATGTCCTAATCTGTTGTAATTTTTCCTAACTTATAAATCCTGAAATGATATTAGCTGACTGATAAAACGTAATTAATATATTTATTATTAATATTCTGCACTCATTTTGACAATTTTTCAAATAAATTGAGACTAGTGTTGAAAATATTGCGTACAATACAACATAATACAGCATCTTTATCATGCATAATGACCCAAACTGTTGCTTCTGTATGATAGCGGAGCACAATAATGTGTTTAATAAAAGTAGATAAGTGTAAATTCCGGACTTTAGTTATAATGACTAAGAAAAGTTATAAAAACAATTAATATGTTCTGGTGAGCATAGGAGGTGTTAACTCACATAAGGCAATACAAGATATCAACAAAACAGCAAAGATTAAATTAAGTATACTTTCTTTACCGGCATAAGCAAAACCTCAAAGATAAGCTGTTATTTGCTAACGTTCAATTCTGCATTATCTGAAATCTTCCATGAAGTTCGAAACATGTAATCAAGCGCGTAGTTTAAATCTAAGTACTGCTGGCAGAAGTCAAAAAATATTTAATAAAAAAATATTAGATTAACTGAAGAGTATCTATTAAATATTTGACTTTGTCTTAACTACTTGGTCATATTAGTGGGAAGACCTAGAGGAACACACTTTTTTCCGGAGCCCATAGTATACATGATAATTTCCAGGGTTAGACTGTGGACTCGGGACCTTCCCAGTCGTTTCGCAGCATTGTCAGTTAATCTTGCCATTCTTAGCACCACACTACAACTCGCCAAAAAGACAAGTGAAGTTGATCTATTGATCAGCTATCTACTAAACAATTGTGGTATCTCGTATCGCTCCTTCAATATCACAATTTTTACTTGCTTATCTAAACTTAGTTGAGACATTTTCACACTCCCTCATCCTCACAACTGTGCTGGGAGTGTTGATCCATGCCTGTCGTTTGGTCTGCAATCCTCTTTCTCCAGGTACTATCAGAGTCTCCCTCTTTCTACTTAGTGTCAGCCTTTCATACCTTGGGCTCAGCGATTTCACTCAGCCTTTTTAACTCTGGATTCTCAAGCTGAATGGATAATTAACTTAAGGAACTGAGCGATTCTCATACTCATGCCTTCAATTCATGGACCAAGTCTATGATCAAACACGACTGCAGTCTTCGTAGCATATATCGTGCTTCTATTCATAATACCAAGTCTATGACATACTATGTCATAGTCTTTTGTTTGCCAACACTCAATTGTTGTGGTTCTACTTGTTTTGACTAGACTCATGCAGGCGTCTCCTCTTCACTTTCAATCTTCCATTCTCTACTCATTGCGATTACTTTTCATAAAATTAAAGATGTTACCTTCATCCAGTGGTCTTCCTTTTGCTGATCCTACTGTTGCCTGACCTTCTTCGGGTTTGCATAGGCACTTTGCAAAACTTTCATTGACTCTGCCTTCCTCAAGTCTTTTGGCAATTAGATTTTTTCTGTCAGGATATTGATGGCCTCTCTGATCTTACGCTTCATCGTATTTTTATCATATAAATGAACGCAGGATCTAAGTGGCCATCGATGTCCTGACTGAAAAAATGAATGGAAAGGCTCACTGACGATGTCGGTGATACGTTTTGGAATTTCTCAGGTCCACTGTCCGACTCTGGAAATTATCATACATAGTATGGAGTCCGGACTATGTGCGTTCCACCAAGTTTTCCTGCTAATATGATCAACTTCCGAAAATAATGTCAAACAACTACTATGAAACTAAAGGGGACTTCGGCCATACAAAAGGCCACACCTACGTTGTCTTTATACCTTTGAAAGGTTCCATATGGGTAACGTATTAGGGTTGCCCTATAAGACGCTAGAAGATTCTTTTGAAGTACTATTATATTTCCCTCTAAATAATCGAGAAATATTCATTCTCTTTACTTAATATTTATTTAGCTATTCACTCTTGAATCAGAATATGAGAGGAAACTTAAATATTGCTTTAAACTCATTCTAAAGAAATGCATTGCTTGCCTTCGATTCCAAAGCGGCAATCTTTTCTACCATATTAATCAAAGATACACTACCAACTGTTAATAACTGATACAAGTTATAATATATTGATAGAAATGAGTGTCGAGTGCACTCATGTATTCACAAGAATCTTTTCTGAGAATCTAGCAAGAATACAAATTTTCAGTAAATTGGTAATTAGTTCAATTCATATGTATTTTTTAGATTTAGCTTAACAGTGTGATCAGATAAGGTATTAAGCCATCATCGTTTATATTGGCATTGCCGAATTGAATTCTAAAGTGTGATGTATACATTCAGACGTTGAGTTTGAAAAACCTCACTCTTAATTGGATCTGGATATCAAAAAGGAGGCATAGTGAGTCATGAAAAAGACGCAGAAGATAGTTCATCTGCCTTTAACTTATTAATCCTTTTGAATATATTTTCCTCATCCTTCATTTCTTGCAGGTTAGAGTGAGTTTAGGCATAGAATTCGCTCACTTATCTTGTGTCCAAAATGTAACCAAAAATTGTAAAATCGTCAAGCCTTATTCAAACTTATATTATTAAACCTGTATAAGCCTTTATTGAAGCAACTTGGCATTTCATTTAGTTTGAATTATCACTTTTAATGAATTTATTTTAACTCTATCTTACTGTATTCTTTAGTTCTTATCTGTGACTAAATCTGTACATTAAAACAGGTTTGGCTGGAGATACAGGAGATCCTGGGCCAAAAGGAAGTGAGGGTGCCAAGGGCGATATTGGTCCAAAGGGAAGCGATGGAGTATGGGAAAAAGGCGATATTGGACTTCAAGGACAGGAAGGGGAATCGGGACCAAAAGGCAAAACACAAAAAAAAGCTTTATAACATTTTGTTCATCCATTTTGTTTTGTAAATAACTCTTTTAGCCATGTAAGTTACTCATTAGCTAGTTGGCATAGCAAAAGGATTCCGAGATATGTCGCGTCCTTATTCAAGGTTATATGGACTGTTGGGTGGAAATTAGAGCAATTCGACATTGAGGTGATCGATATCATAGGGTTATCCTCATTTGTCTTTGGTAAATTAGGACTCGAATCCTAAGCACATCCGCAGAGTAGCTTATTAACTAATCCCTCAGTAAACACTTTTCGAGATTATCCGTTCTTAATTTATATTCTTGATTTGATTTTACGGTTAAGTTGTTTTAAGAATCTTATTTTTGCCAAGGATTAACAATACCGATTCAGATAATCTCTTAATAGAGAGAAATCTGTATCTTAGTATCAGAGTAGGCACACATTTGTATTGCTATGATAACTAATGAGAAGACTAAATACTAGCTTAATTTTTAAATAAACTCAAGTCAGTTTATAGGATAATTGACCATACCGTAGATATATATACTTCATTACTTGATATTATAAGAAAATATTATTTATAAATATTTAGTTTCCATAACCTAATTATTGTATGAAATATCACATTTTTCAGGATTAATTGTATGTATTCGAAATTTAGATAAATCTTTATCTGATTATGTCTGCTTGACGCACAAATCCTTTCCTCATATCTGACCAAAGGCCATAAAGTTTCGCTCAATTATATCATTTGGGGAAATGATTAATTCGCTAAAATATAAACAAAATATAAACAACTATTGAGGGCTTTAAACGGAATGTATAAAGAAATTATCGTATGCAAATCTTTTGTGGGCCTCCAGAATAAAGAAGAAGCTTTGTAGCAACCCACTTCCTTAAACTAAAAAAAAATTATGAGCCCTTATGATTGACACAATATCTGGTAGCTTATTTCAAAGATGTTGAAATTCATTATTATGCACAATCAGTTGAATAAAAGACAATCCTTCTGTTTACTTGTGTTTCTACTATTCAGGCGATATTGGACCCAAAGGAGATACAGGCGAAAAAGGTTATTCAGGTGAGGAAGGCAGAGGTCAAGACGGCGAAAGCGGTGATGAAGGTGAACTCGGCAGTGATGGACTCAGTGGCGATAAAGGATTGCAGGGAGAAATGGGTGAAAAAGGTAAAGAGTCTGTAAATGGAAGCCATATGCAAACTATCCAGTCACTCAATTAAATTGGTAATTCTAGGCTCTTTGATGCCATTTTGGGTGTGTTCACGCTAGAGGTTTAATACGTGCACATGGGTCAAGAGTTAATGGGTCTGCTATCATTATATTGTTAAGTTTTATAAAAAATACTGCAATCAAAGCAATTATGTAGTCCTAGTTAAAGACTGCCAAT